CTATTATTAATCAAAAGAGCGGTGATTTCTCTACCTAGAGAAATCACAACTGGACGTAGGCATAAGTACTGCCGAACCAGTATAATTCTTGTGTGTTTCTAAGTTTTTCTATATTTGCTAGTTTAGTCTATTGCTGTTGGTTACATCAAAGAACAAGGTCTAGTGTGGGCGTTTTTCAACAATTGGTATCAAGAGCTAGGATCAAGGTGTTCTACGATGTCAAAAGGGAAGATGAATGCGGATCAAGGACGGAGGACCTGCGTTAAAACCCTTTGACGGAAGGATGACTTTCACGGGGCAAGGATGATGATGAAGACGTACTAGGACAATACAGCAGGACTTAGAGATGATGAGACTTACTCGATGCCGAAAACATGCCGTAAGAAGCCGGAAAACATGACAGAGGCAGCATGGATTAAGGTTCTCAAGAAGGCCAAGAGTTCCATCGAGATCCATCTCACAAGATCAGTTCGGTCACACATCACCGAAAAGATGACTGCCCAGGAAGCATGGGAAAAGTTGGAGAATGTTTATATGGGCAAAACCGTGTCCAATAAACTTTTTCTAAAAGACGAACTATTCGGGATTCGACTAGAAGAAGGAGGTGATATTGAAGATCATGTATGCAGGTTCCAGAATTGCATAGCTAATCTTCAGAAGGTCGAAGAAACTTACAAAGATGATGATATGGCTATCATCTTGCTGAGGTCTCTACCTTCGTCTTTCAAGCACTTTCGAACAACTCTAATGTTTGGAAAAGAGTCCCTGAAGCTTGAAGATGTAATTCAAGCTCTTCAGTCATATGCTAAACTGGATGATATAACTGAAAGCTCTCAAGGCCTTTATGCCAAAGGCAAGGAGAGGGGGCGGGAAAAGACAAAGGAAGAGAAAATCGGCAGTAGAGGTAGGTCAAAATCCAAGAAGAAAAAGGAAAAGAAGGAAGGTTGCTTCGAATGTGGTTCAGTCGATCATTGGAAGAGGAACTGCAAGATTTGGAAAGAGAAGAAAGCCAAGATGGAAGGAAGCTCAGGTTCAGCTAGTGCAGTCACCGAGCATGAGAGTGACGGGGAGCTTCTTTCAGTAACATCAGGCTCCAAGGCTTTCACCAATTGGATTTTGGATACCGGATGCACTTTTCATATGTGTGCAGTAAGGGAATGGTTCGACACTTACAAAGAAGTCAGCAGCGGGGAAGTCTTAATGGGGGATGATTCTTCATGTCCTGTAAGAGGAATCGGCATTGTTCGAATCAGAATGTTCGATGGGATGATACGAGCTTTGGGGAACGTTAGGTATGTTCCTAGACTAAGAAAGAATTTGATTTCCTTGGGTACTTTAGATGAGGCCGGTTATGAGTACAAGTCTAAAAAAGGAAGACTCAGGGTAACCAAAGGATCGCTAGTGGTAATGCGGGGTGACCTACAACCCAATAAGTTGTATAAGTTAATTGGGACCACTATAGTCGGGGGAGCAGCTGTTTCTATAAATCAGAGTGTAGAAGACAAGACTGAACTCTGGCATCATAGGCTCGGGCACATAAGCCAGAAAGGGTTGCAAGAATTACACAAGCAAGGCCTCTTGGAAGGCGTGTCATCTTGCAAACTGGACTTTTGTGAATACTGTGTTCTCGGAAAGCAAAGAAAGGTATCATTCGTAAGTAGCAGTGTAGATAACCGAAGCAAAGAGCAACTCAGCTATATTCACTCAGATGTTTGGGGCCCTGCACCAACTAAATCAAATGGTGGAGCCAGGTATTTTGTTACTTTTATGGATGATTTTTCTAGGAAGGTTTGGGTTTATTTCATGAAGCAGAAATCCGAGGTTTTTGCAAAGTTCAAGGAATGGAAAACAGAAACCGAGAATCATACTGGAAGAAAGATCAAGTACCTGAGAAGTGACAATGGAGGTGAATATACAAGTAATGAGTTCACCGATTACTGCAAGCAAGAAGGCATCATAAGGCACTTCACAGTAAAGAAGAATCCCCAACAAAATGGAGCTGCTGAGAGGATGAACCGAACTCTCATGGAGAGAGAGAGGAGCATGCGATTTCATGCAGGATTGCCCGATAGTTTTTGGGCAGAAGCTGTTAATCATGCAAGTTATTTGATTAACAGGTCACCATCTACAGTTCTCGGTTTTAAAAGTGCAGAAGAGGTATGGTCTGAGAAGCCGGTGGACTATTCCAAGCTCAGGGTGTTCGGCTGTAGTGCTTATGCACATATTCCAAGTGATGAAAGGTCCAAGCTCAAACCGAAGTCTACACATTGCATATTCTTAGGTTTTGAGAAAGGAGTTAAGGGTTTCAAGCTTTGGGATTTCAACAACAGAAAAAAGGTTGTCAGTCGAGATGTTGTCTTTGATGAGACAACCATGCCTCTTAATAAAGTCGAGAGCAGTAGGGAGAAGACGGACGATGCTGAAATTGAAGCAACAAAGATTCCATTAATCAGTTCAGATGATGAAGAAGCTCAGGTGGAGCAAATTGAGCAAGAGGCCGAATCTGATGGTTTTGAGGAAGAAGAGGAGCACCAACATCGTTCACCAGTTAGGAATCAGGTGGAGCAAGAAATAGGGCAGATTGAAGGCACTCCAATCCGCCAGACATCCCAAAGGGTTCGAATTCCAACCAACAATCCACTTGCATTCCAGAGATGCATAGCACTAGACAAACCTAATCGGAACAAGAAGAAGCCTGACAGATTTGGGTTTGACCAAGACGAAGTTAATTATGCTCTAAACATTAGTCAAGGAGATCCGACTACTTATCGAGAAGCTATAGCTAGTGATGAGCGAGATAGTTGGATAAGTGCTATGACAGAAGAAATGGAGTCTCTTTACAAGAACTCTGTTTGGGAGTTGGTTCCTAAGCCCAAAGACAGAAAGCTAGTTGGATGCAAGTGGGTATTTAGGAAAAAGGAAGGACTACATGAACAAGATGCCGTGAGATTCAAAGCAAGGCTCGTGGCTAAGGGGTACTCACAAAAGGAAGGGGTGGATTATGATGAGATCTTTTCACCTGTAGTCAAGCATACTTCTATCAGATTGCTTTTAGCATTGGCAGCTCAGCATGACATGGAGATTGAGCAGATGGATGTGAAGACAGCATTTCTTCATGGGGATCTAGAGGAGACAATTTTCATGGCTCAACCAGAAGGGTTTGTTGAATATGGGAAAGAGAACCTAGTATGTTAGCTAAGGAAGTCCCTGTATGGCCTGAAATAGTCTCCAAGACAGTGGTACAAGAGGTTTGATTCATTCATGCTGAAAATCAATTTTAGAAGATGTTTATATGACTGTTGTGTGTACTATCATGTGTTCCAAGATGGGATGATCATATTGCTATTGCTATATGTGGATGACATGCTAATTGCTTGTCAAGACAAGTCTATGATTCAAGACTTGAAGAAGATGTTGAGCGAGGAGTTTGACATGAAGGCTCTAGGTGCTGCACAGAAGATTCTTGGCATGGAAATTCAGAGAGATAGGACCGCTGGAAGGATTTCGATATCACAAGCCAAGTATATCCAGAAGGTTCTTAAGAAGTTCAACATGCAAGAAGCAAAGGTAGTTTCGACTCCTTTGGCGGCTCACTTCAGGTTAAGTGGGCAACAGTGTCCTACGTCCGAGGAAGAGCAACAAGTAATGAAGAATGTGCCTTATGCTAATGCAGTGGGCTGCCTCATGTATGCAATGGTATGCACACGTCCCGACATAGCTCAAGCAATCAGTGTCGTTTCCAGATACATGGCAAATCCAGGAAAGCAACATTGGGATGCAGTCAAGTGGATTTTGCGTTATTTGAAGGGTCTTGGCGACAAAGGATTATGTTTGAGAGGCAAAAGGAAAGTGCAGGGGTGTTAGGATATGTGGATGCCGATTATGCAGGGGACTTGGACAAGAGAAGGTCAACTTCTGGTTATGTGTTTACATGTGCAGGAGGACCAATCAGTTGGAGGGCACTACTGCAACCAATTACAGCTTTGTCGACCACAGAGGCAGAGTATATTGCATTGGCCGAAGCTGGAAAGGAAGCGATTTGGCTTAGTGGCTTGGTAAGTCAAATGGGAATCACTCAAGATTGTGTGAAGCTGAAGTGTGATAGTCAAAGTGCCATTCACTTGGCAAAGAATCAGGTTTTTTCTGGAAGATCAAAGCACATTAAAGCAAGGTATCACAGAATCAGAGATTGGGTGGAGTCTAAGGAAATTTGGATTGAAAAGGTTCATACGGATGACAATGCCGCAGATTTCCTTACAAAGATAGTGCCGGCCAAGAAGTTCAAGCATTGCTTGAACTTGATCAATCTCGTTGATTGATTAAAGTGGAGCACCTCCTCACTTGAGGTGCAATGAGGCAAGAAGAAGATTGCCAAGGTGTAGACTCTTGAAGATTTCCAGAGCTGCTTCAAGAAGGTTCAAAGATACTCTGGGGTGCAACGATCAAGACTTGGTTTGACTCACCAAGGTGGAGATTGTTAGGTTTTGGCTCGTCAATTAATGTCCTTTTCTGTTTAGGATTGTTTTAGGGAATAAAAAGGTGCACCAATTCTTCTCCTAAAAGGGCTAGGAAAGAATCTTAGTTTCCTTATTCAATTTAGATTAGAAATCCTAGAAGTCTATTTGGAATTGGAAAGGAAGTCTAATTTCCTATTCCACTTAGAATAGGAATTATAATCTGTAAAGGACATGTAAACTGCACCCTATGCCTATAAATAGGGTGCGCAAGTCTTAAATTAAAAAGAGAGAAAAACTGTGACAGCAAAGACAAGAGAGAGAGATTAGTTCTAGGGTTTGCAAAAGTTCTGTAATCTCTATTATTAATCAAAAGAGCGGTGATTTCTCTACCTAGAGAAATCACAACTGGACGTAGGCATAAGTACTGCCGAACCAGTATAATTCTTGTGTGTTTCTAAGTTTTCTATATTTGCTAGTTTAGTCTATTGCTGTTGGTTACATCAAAGAACAAGGTCTAGTGTGGGCGTTTTTCAACAACATCATCTCTGTAATTTCATTTCAAGAATTTAAACAATTACCGACGATAAATGGAATGTGCGAAATCTTGGGCCAATCTGTGCTGCTGTCCCTGCTGCATCTTTGCTTTAGAAGGGGATGACATCTATAAATATACAGGGTATGTAATTTGGTGAGGCGTTGTATAGCTTGGACACTAGGTAAGTTGGTCAGATTCTTGCAATCTTGAATCCACAGCTGCGTAAGGGATGTAAGGCTACCCAACCATTCTGGCAAAGTCTCCACTCCCTCAAAGTGATGTACTCTCAAATCTGTTAGAGAAGTGAGGTGTTGAATTTGTTGAGGCAGAGACTTGAGCTTAGGCCAACCATACAAGGATAACATTGTAAGGTGCATTAATGATCCAACTTGAAAATCAGGGAAGGAATCGAGCTCCTCCCAGAACCCACCGATGCTCAATCCCTCCAAGTGCGGGAGCCGTTGTAACCCCGTCGGCAGATCTTTTAGCTTTCGCCAATTTACAATCCCCAAATAACGGAGAGAAGTGAGGTTGTCTAAACTTGGAAGAATCTCTAAATTAGGGAAATCCTGTATTGTCAGACTCTCAAGAGAGAGTGGAAACTGCAGCCTGCTCACCCAACTTTCCAATCCTTCACATTGGACAATTATCAGTACTCGAAGGGAGGTGAAGGTGCGCAAATCTGAAAAAGATTGTAGACTAATGCTGTTACTTTGGACCTTTGGGCATTCACTTATCCACAATTCCTTAAGAGAGGGAGGAAGAGCAGGTAAACTTGATAATTCTTCGCAATATCTGATCATCAACTTCTGAAGAGAGGACACGCCGCCTTTGATTTCAATTGATGTCAGATTATTGCATTCCCATACCATCAACTCCACTAGAGAGGCCCATACAATCAGTGGGCCTGATGTTACACCATCGCAACCTTTTAAACTCAATTTCTGGAGAGAGGGGCAGTACCGTATCCCACTCGGTAGGCCTGACAATCGTCCACAATACTCGATCTCTAATTCCCGTAGAGATGCCATGTCATGTGTAATTGGAATCAACTCTAGACTAGGACACCACCGAATACTCAGGTTCTCAAGGAGAGATGGTATGTCTAGCCCATCCGCCAATTGTTTACAATCACTAATATGTAATTTCCGAAGAGATGTCATGCCCTGTGTAATTGGAATCAACTCTAGACTATCACATCCCCCAATACTCAGGTATTCAAGGAGAGGGAGTGTGTCTAGCCCATCCAGCAAATGCCTCAACTTTTTACACCCCCCAATAGACAATCTCTTAAGAGAGCCGCAAGATCCAAATACATCGGGAGCAATACAAGTTAAATCATCGCATCCGCTTATCGTCAAAGATGAGAGATTATTATTGTTCTTCAAAATTCCTTGTGGCAAACAGGTAAGCTCCTTAATACCTTCTATTTTGAGGGAAACAAGAGTTGTTAATTCACGGCTTATTTCTTCTATTGGCATTCCACTATCACTAGAATTTATCACCAACTTTTGAAGAGATGGAAAATGACTCGGAACATTTCTCAATTTGGAACAATCTTTGATATCCAACTCCTCGAGGCAAGGAAAAACCACAACTTTTTGTGTTGACATCATTGGCGCTTCCATCCATTTAATTAGATTGTTGCACTTCACAATATGTAATACTTTTAGTGCAGGAAATAGAGTAATTTTCTCCTTACTTGTCTTGGCTACATTGTGGTCAAGATCATAAACATAAAATTCAGCTCCAAGGCATGTCAAATTAGCCATTCCATTAATCTCAAGCTCCGTAAGATTGGGTAGATGACCGAGCGGTGGGACTCCTTCACATTTGTCGCATCCAAGTAATTGAATCTTCTTCAAGTTGTTGAGCAGTATCATCCAGGATGGAAACCTATCTCCCATGAAGTTTTTAATACGTAAGCTCTCCAACCCAGGATGCGGTCGAAGGCCTTCCAGTACATCCCCCTCTTCACTGTTGTTGGTTATTGACCTATATTCTGTCCATTTGAAGCTTAAATGACATATTTCCTTCTTATCCTCTAACGTAGCCTTCTTTGCTTCTTCTCCATTCTTTACGTGCTCTAGGTTACAAATGATTAATTCACCTTTCAAATGTTTCAAGCCAGCCAACTCTTCAATTTGACAACCAATTTCATTACCCACCAAAAAGTAAGGTAATGTTCGAAGGCATGTTAGCCGACTTATCCCCTGGGGGAATTTTGTACTCTTATCAAAATAAATATGTCTCAGGTTGGTCAAGTTTTGCAGGTCTTTTGGAAACTCTTTAAGAGCACAATTCGTTGCTCTTAACGTCTGAAGGTTATAGAGCTTGCCTATAGACTTGGGGAGTGATTTGAATTTTGTTTCAGAAATGTCAAGATACCTCAAGTGTTTCAGCCTTCCAACTGAAACTGGAAATTCTTCAATATTAGCATTACTTAAATTTAAGACACGTAAAGCTTTGAACCGTGCCAAAATGTTCCTAGGAACTTCACCATCGTCGAAAAACAGCGACCGCAATTTCCTAGCACTTCTTTTTGGAAGTTTATCCAACACAGAAGTAGAAACCCGAGCAACATGTCGAATCTCATTTGTATTATCTATGCCACGTAAGTCTCCCCTCAAGCTTTCTGATTTGGATACAAGTTCCGCCATATCGTGCACAAGATCGTGCATCTTACATTCTCTAACAATGCCATTATGACCCATTCCAGCATCTTGAAATAAGGAACTCTGCAATAAATTGTCAAAATATTCATTGCCAATGTCTTCCATATCTTTACTTTCGCCATGCGAAGAGTGGAGTAGTCCTTGAGCCATCCATAGTTGAATCAAGTTCTCTCTTTGAATTTCAAAATCTTTCTTGACATTGAGCAATATGCAAAACATTGCTTCAGTGATGGTGATTCTAAATTATCAAAACTCAATTTCAAGACTGGCATAATTCTATCTTGTCCTTTTGATAGGTTCTCCCATATTCTACTTTCTTTAAACGACGACCATTCTTCAATATCTTTTTTATTGCGCAAAATGCCTCCCAAAACCTATTTGATTTGAGAGTTTCTATCAATAAAGTAGTTTAACCATGACTACAAGGAAAATATTATTATTATTATTATTATTATTATTATGGATCTATGTGAAGCAAAATAATGTTCTCCACCATATTTTTTTATCAGATGAAAAAGAAAAAGAAAAATATATGACAGAAAAAAAAAGGAATAGTTATAACTAGTTTTAAGGGTAAATTTTTTCTTTAGGGTAAATTACGGGTTGACCTCCTGAACTATCACCCAAGTTGAAACCGACCCTTAAACTATTTTTTTGGTAATTAACTCCCTGAACTATTTAAAATTAGTCAATTAATCCCTTGTCGTTTGATTGCGAAATCAATTACATCAAATTCAAGGGCAAATTAGCCATTTCATCATCAATCATTGCTTGTCAGCTATAATCACCAATAAGATTTTGACACATAGTCACAAAATAATTAAAAAACATATAGCATAATAAGAAAACATAAAAAAACCAAACGTTTACATAACGGACCATCTCACATTGTCATTACACATTATTTTGTTTTCACATGTTATAATTTCATTGTTGGTTATAGTTGACAAGTAATAATTGATGAAGGAAAAACTAATTTTCTTTTGAATTTGACGAAATAGTGGATGGAATCTCTCAACAAAGGGACAATTGGCTTATTTCAAATAGTTTAAGGGGTTAATTTACAAAAAAAAAAATTCAAATGGTCAATTTCAACTGGGATAATTGTTCAAATGATCAAATGGCAGTTTACCTCTTTCTTTAAGGGAGTTTTAACAAAACACTCTCGGTACTGTTCAGTTTTAACGAAAAATCACATTTTTACCTTTGACTGGCACTATTCACTATACTTTTAAAAATGATTTTTCATTAAAGGAGAATTTTTTGGACTTTTCGTTAGTTTTTTTTCTCTTTAATGTTTTTAAATTAACAACAATTGCACTTTATTACGCTTTTTTTCATTTTGCGTTCATAATTAAAGTTTAATTTTGGGTAAATTACATAGTAGCCCCTCAGGTTTGAGGTCTATTTGCAATCTTATACAACATCTTTAAAACATTTCACTTTCATACCTCAAGTACTATTTTATTTCAATTTCATACAACCGTTACATTTTCCATCCATGGATCTGTTAAATGCTTACGTGGCTGCCACATGTATACCATGTGGCTGCCAAATGTCTGCCATGTGGCAAATAAAATAATTTTTTAATTTTTTTAAAAAAAACCTGAAAAAGGCTGAAAAAAAAGGAAGAAAAAAAGAGAAGAAGAAAAAAAGAAGGAGGAGAGGAAGAAGAAGAAGGAAGAAAAGAAGAAAAAAAAAAAAGGACCGAACCCAGAAGAAGAGGGAAAGAAGAAGAAGAGAAAGAAGAAGAAGGAAGAAGAAGAGAGAAAGAAGAGAAAAAGAAGAAAAAGAAAAAAAAAGAAGAAGAGAAAGAGAAGAAGAAGAAGAAGAAGAAAGAAAAGAGAGAAGAGGAGGAAGAAGAAGAAGAAGAAAAAAAAAAAAGAAAGGGACCGAACCCAGAAGAGAAGAGAAGAGGAGGAGAGAAAGAAAGAAAGAGGAGGAGAGGAGGAAGAAGAAGAAGAAGAAAAGAAAAAAAAAAAAAAGGGACCGAACCCAGAAGAGAAGAAGAAGAGAAGAAGAAGAGAAGAAAGAGGAGAAGGAAGAAGAAGAAGAAGAAAGAAAAAAAAAAAAAAAGGACCGAACCCAGAAGAGAAGAAGAAAGAGGAGGAGGAGGAAGAAGAAGAAGAAAAAAAAAAAAAAAAAAAAAGGGATCGAACCAGAAGGAGGAAGAAGAAGAAGAGAAGAAGGAAAAAAAAAGGAACCGAACCCAGAAGAAGAAAAAAGAGAAGAAAAAAACAAAGTGGCAGACAGGTTTTTTTTTTAAATTAAAAAATTATTTTATTTGTCACGTGGCAGACATTCGGCAGCCATGTGTCACATATGTGACAGCCACGTCAGCATTTAATAGATCCATGAATGGAAAATGTAACGGTTGTATGAAATTGAAATAAAATAGTACTTGAGGTATGAAAGTGAAATGTTTTAAAGATGTTGTATAAGATTGCAATAGACCTCAAAACCTGAAGGGCTACTATGTAATTTACCCTTTAATTTTTCTGCCACTTTTATTACGGCTCAGCCACAGCACCCCGACTGCCCCGCCGCAGTCTCATTGGTTCTAAATGACGGTTCACGCAGCATCTTACAACGGTTGATTGAGCTGTGTAGAGGCCACGACAATTGATTGATGAGCCGCTGGCTCCAGACGAGGTTATCGACGAAGGAGCGGCTCAAAAGTGGTGGTGATGAGACGTCGGAGGGAGACCCCCGGGGGGGTGGCTGGTGGTGGTTTCAGCTCAACACCTTTTGGTTTTCATTTTTATTTTAGTGATTTTTCGAAGCTAATTAAATTGGGTTTTTTCACTTGATCTGGAAGAAGCGAAATTTCAGTGACCTTTGTGTCGTGACTCGTGAAGAAAGACATTTTACATTGGAACGGAAGAGAGAGAAGGGAAAGAGGAGCGGGAGAGATTTTTTTAGTTTAGAATTTTTTGTTTTTAATATTTTTTCTTTAGTTTTTGTCACATGGCAAATTTGTTGGACTCAAATTACGTCATGTTATTATTTAACGAATTCGTTAACAAAAAGACTAACAGAATTATGAAAGCGTAAAAAAAAATTTAACTTTAGGAATATAAGAAATTGAGACAAAAATAAATAAATATAGTAAAGTGTAATTTTTGCAAAATTTAACAGTAATAAATGAAAAATACCCCAGTTTTAAACTCTCAAAGGTGTCTTAAAACAATTTAGACAATGAATGACGTAACAAATACCTACATGACGTGAGTCAAAAAAAAGAAAAAAAGAAGAGATAATTCATCCAATTACTATTTTAATTGATTCTAACTAGATCGGTTTGTTTTTGGTAAAGTTTTTACACACTATCGGAGACGAATTTATGTAAATTGAATTTTTCATGGCGTGGGTAAGGTGGTGAACTCATGTGGTGGATACAAGTACTAATTTATAAACGAAAACATGAAAATAATAATAATAAAGGTGCAAATTTCATGTTATAATATATAATAATAATACGCACCTTTGCCACCAATGGAACGCCACCACAATTTTTAGCAATCTCCTTTCCAACTGTATGGAACTCTGGAGCTATATGAGCATTACTATTGGGGAACGCTCTATTTTTCATGATGGACCAACATTCATCTACAGAAAGCTTTCCCAATTCATGTCGTTGAAGTAGCTTTTCGGAGATCGATGCAACTTTGCTACTACGAGTCGTGACAATAATCTTGGACCCCCCAGCAGAATGAAGCTTTGAGAAACATTCCATCAAATTCTCCCATTTTATGGGATCTTCGTTCCAAACATCATCAAGCACGAGTAAGTATCTTTTATCTTTCAACTCGTCTTTAAGGAACTTAAGCAGAGCTTCCTGGTTATCTTTCGAAGAAGGGGCATTTGCCGGTTTAAGTTGTTCTAACATCTTGAGTAGAATTAAATTGACCTCAAATGTGTCCGATACACAAACCCATATTCTCTTTTCAAAGAACTTGAGTATCGAATCCTCATTGTAAACTGACTTGGCCAATGTTGTCTTGCCGAGACCTCCCATTCCCACGATGGGCATAACCGCAAGATTTTCTTGGTTGCTTTGGGAGTCGGTCAAGGTTGCGACTATTTCTGACACAACCTCTTCCCTTCCAACGGTTATTTCGTCTCTGCCAATGAGTGAGTTGGTTTGTCTGTCCCATCTAGATTCCTGAGGGATTGCATCTTTACTCTTGGAAACTAGACCGATGAAAGATGCATCCCTCTTGAGATATAACAAGGACTGGTTGATCTTCTGAATTTTATGTGCCATCTTCAAACGAAATGCAAGTGGATTGGAGAGTGAAAAGAAGTTGAGTACCTTTTTCTTCATATGATTTTGGAGTTCAACTTTACGGCGAACAACTTCGTAGTCGAACTCATCCATCACATCTTCAGCATCTTGAGCTATGCCCTTAAGCTTCATCACCCACTCCTCCACCGCCTTGACCCGATCTTGTGGTTGGTCGGAAACAGCTCCGGAAACAGCTCCCAAGAAATCTTGAATGGTGAGTAATGACTCGCGAAGCCGTTTGAGTTCAGCTTTGAAACCCCACGCAAGACTCAGTTCTTGAGCAGCAAGTGACGCCACCTTCGACAGTATTCCCTCAACAGAAAAAGTAAACACAGTTTCTGCAATCTTCCCTTCCATGCTGGTCGAGTGAATGTTCTCTCAATTTTCTCTCGAGTAGATAGAAGGAAATAACAATGATGATGGCCAGATGTAGGGGGTTAAATGCTTTGACCATATTTTGCCTTACATAACTTATGATCCAACTTTCTCATAACAATTGAAGGATATATTCGATCCTTTGCTTTAGATTAGAGTCATTAGACACGTCTAGTTCCTTCCTTCCGTGGTGCTTCCAACTATCTTACCTTTGGATTTAATTCGTCCATCTTGATCCCTTGAGTGTACCGTATGTGTCGTGAAGTATAATATGTACTTAATTAATTCGTCCTAGATTCGTAATTTACATATGAAAATATGTGATTTCAAGTTTCTACAATTTTTATGCCTTGTAACTTATGAAATGTTTCTCATATATAATTGAGGATATATTCTCTTTTGCTTTGGATATGTGTCTACTTTCTCTTTCATTTGTTCTTTTCTTCTTTAATGCTTCCTGGAATCTTACATTTGCTAAATTGCTTTCAAGCTCCTTTTATTGATCCCTTCACTGTACGTATTGGCTCTTATATCTTGTTGCTGAAAGATATATGTCGGACGAATGTATCTCTCATGAGCTTGAATTGTTTTCGGAAACATAAATCCAGAACCCATTTCGATCCTTCGCTTTAGATTAGACACGTCTAGTTCCTTCCTTTTGTGGTGCTTCCAAGTATATTACTTTAGGATTTAATTCGTCCTTCTTGATGCCTTGAGTGTCATGAAGGATAATATGTACTTTATTCGTCCTTCTAAGTTCTGCAATCTTATCTTGCCCATTGATTAGTCAATCAATCACTCGTTCATTTGTTCTTTTCTTTCTTAATCTTTTAGGAATCTTACCTTTTGCTAAATTGCTTTCAAGTTCTAACTACTTTTCTTGATGCTTTCACTGTATATACAGGCCCTTATGTCTCGTCATTGTCGACGTAACGCTTTGCGCTTTGGTTTTTTTCATCATAATCATGAACGAGAAATCATGCATTTATAAGGAATAACAGTTCGTACTCAATGTATACAGTTAATATCAATCAACGACTCTAAATTTAACCCCTATATGAGTAACTCGCTTATCTATCTACACCCCATCTTTAAACTTAAATTCTCATTCTTTCTAAAAACACCCGATCTTTCTCTCTCTGTTAGGACAGTGCGATCGCGAAACACATTTCTATATTTGTGACTTGCCCTTGCCCAACAGGTGGAGTTGCACAAAAGGAATTACCTTTCCGCCTTTAGGAAGGAGGACCAAAACATTTGTTTTAAAGCTCTTAGATTTTGGCCAAATCCCACTGCCGATAACAACAACAACAATGTCACTCTCGGGAGTGGCATTTCGACTAACTTCATCTCTGAATCCCATAAATTCCGAAGATCTTGTTGTTTGCAGCTTGAATTTTCTGCTTAAAAGAACAGTGATTACTTCCTTCACATCTGCAATGCACAGTTTGTTATAAACGTGGCTAATTTTCAAAGAAACAAATGTCAATCCTTTATAATGGCATAAGAAAGTGTCTCAAAGGAGACAGTGTTACCTTCCCGGACCGAGAACTCTCTGTAGATTACTAAGGTGTTGAGACAATGGTGGGTAAACATCATCAGGAAGAGTGACCCCAAGTACACAATATGGATATGCACCAAAATCGTTATGGCATTCCATGTAAAACTCTTTTACAAGCAAAAGTGAAAACTTTGTTTTGCAACAAAGATGGGTGTTACGTAATTATCACCATCTCCAGTAAGACATCCAGAATTTCTGTCCTTCGTTAAAGACAGTACGGAGTGCATAGGACTGTACGAACCTTCCATACGCACAAGCTGGGGTACGTCCACGTTTAGTAGTTTCTCCGGTTTTTACTATAAGTGCAGGTTACATTTCAAAACGTGCAATCTGTGTGCAAGCTCGTAAGGATGCATTCGATTTGGCGATGGGTGTCAAAACAAAGAATATTGATCCAGTTGTAATCGACAAGATAAAAGATTTGTCTCCAAATTATACAAGACATAAAATTATGCCATTTTAATTTTGTCAAGGCAAGTTCAAATGTTGAGTCAAAATCCAAGAGATTGGGATCGTTTCACTGAGAACCGAAATTCAAGTGCCTTGTCCAAATAACCTTCACCTACGAGACATATCCCAGTAACCGCAGCTAAAATCTATGATGCCGACAAGTTGTGAAGCTTTCTTCGTCACTCTCTCCAGCTATGCTCTCTTTCGGAAAAGCCTTTGCTTCACAACTTTCTTTCTAGGTTTCTTGGCTACACATTCGTTCTCAACTTTGGCTCTCGCATTCTTCTCCTCCACTTTAGGTTTCTTCTCTGGTACTTCGGGTTTCTCCTCTGTTTCTTCGGGTTTCACTTCACAGCCTTCTGGACTCTCTGTGAAACATACTCTGTTTGCTTTAGCTTTCTTTCTCACTTGTTTAGGAGCAACTTCATCCACCTTCATTGCACAGGCTTCCTGCTCGGTTTCACAACCTTTGGGGCTCTCTGTGGGAAGCTTGGGAGAGGCTTCTAGGTCATCCATTTCAGGCACGACACCTCTCTTGGACCTTCGTTTCTGATCTGATCCCAAGTCTGGCGAAGCTTTTGTGTCATCCATTGCAGGCACAGTACCTCTCCTTGACCTTCGTAGCTGATTTGATTCAGAGTTGAAGTTGGTTTTTGAGTCATCTGCTACAGGCACCGTACCTCTCCTTGACCTTCGTAGCTGATTTGATTCAGAGTTGAAGTTCATTTTTGAGTCATCTGCTACAGGCGCAGCCCCTCTCTTTGACCTTCGTAGCTGATTTGATTCAGAGTTGAAGTTGGTTTTTGAGTCATCTGCTACAGGCGCAGCCCCTCTCTTTGACCTTCGTATCTGATTTGATTCCAAGTCTGTGGCAGCTTTTGCGTCATCCGTTGGAGGTACAATACCTCTCTTTGACCTTCGCCTCTGATCTGATTCTGAGCCCGGGGAAGGTTGTGAGTCATCAATCTCAGACACAGAACCTCTCTTAGTTCTTCGTTTTTGAGTTGATTCTGAGTCACGCTTCACGGCTGTCTTCGATGTATTTTCAGCACTGGGAATATCTTCTTTGTCCACAATGCTTTTTATACTAGACATTGATGATACTTTGACAATGTAGATCTGCAGTACATAACAACTGGTAGTTCAAGATTTGGTGTTTCAAAGAAGTTCGAAATTTCTCAAGTCAAGCCCAAGCCAATAATGATATATTCATGACTTTGAAAGACATCAATTGAAAGACTAAATAAACGATACTCTAATTACAATTTGCTCAAACGTATCATTGCTAGATTGAGACTAAATGCTTACCTTAAATCTTGTGGGTTCAGTCAGTTCAAACACAAGCGCATCACCATCATCCAACTTGTGTTCCAGTGCAAACGCTCTCCAGCCCCCACTAAGCCCAGTTCTTGAGCCAATGTAGACAGCATCGTACTCGTTGCCATTTTCATCCTCCAGCACCATATCTGAGCCCGTTTTTGAGAGATGTTCATCACAAAATCTTGTGGGAAGACCCTTGAAATCAAAACAAAATTCTCAAGCAAATAGATTAGCAAATAATACTAGGTCCCCCACAACTTGAATTGATACTGGTCAGATTATATGAAAAAGTGAAAACTAGTGATGGCCATAAGCTTAAAATGCAAATTTGGTTGCAACTTACCAACCAAAAACAGCTATAAACATGCGATCGAACCATTGTTTTAACGAAAGATGGATTATCAGTTTGTAGATTCTCCAGAAGCTTCTCTGCAGCTTTAAGAGCAGCTTGCCTTTCTTCATAAGAACAAAGTCTGACTTCTTCCATCGGCCTCGCAAGGTAGCTGAAAAATTCACACAAATACCACTATAACGCTACATTACCGATGCAGTATGGAAACATCAATTAAACAACCAAACAAATCTATTCAACCTTCCACAAAAAGATGAACTCGACCTCGACCTCTTCCTCAAAGGCGGAAGGTCTATGTCAACCTGAAATGGGGAACCAAAATCCAGTCTTTTTCTGTTAGTATAAACTATAAAGATAACTATCAACTGTACTGCATTGTTTCCCGTAAATTGATGGAAAGATTGATTGCTCAAAACTTGGTTCTCACACAAGGAACAGTTGTGATTAGAGACATGGATCACTTACATCATCACGATATGTTTGAACTGAATTGCGTTGACGGGAAGACCTTCTTGGCTCTATATCCAAACAAGCATTCCTTGCTTTAGGTTTCGAGACACGATGCTGCACCACAGAGATGTTCATGTTAATTATAACATAAGTGAACAGATTCAGTGCTAATTCGGTGTTACTCAAAGTGGTCAAATCCTTACTTATACAAGGCAATGACGAAATTAAAAGCGGCTATCCATTCCAAATGATCGAATTAACAAAATAATTAAGCTAGATGACGCGGTGATGGAGATAATTGAGAGCATTTAACAATCTGTATTAGCTTCGGAAACTTTCAGTGTTGCAACAATGAAAACTTTGCATGTGTTCCTAAGAAAAGGAAAGGAAAGGAGTTTGTCCATTTTTCGGGGTTCGAAGAAGCATGTAAATGTAAATAGAATAACAAGTGCATGTAAATGTAATAGAAATGAACGGACAAATTAGAAGTTGGAAACAAAGCCTGGTTCTTTTTCTAACCTGGGTCTTGTTCGGAGAAGCAGTCAAGTGGGTCAATGTCTTTGAAATGCTTGAGATTCCCAAATCCTTCGTCATCCAAACAGAAGAAATTACAGTCAAAAGATCGAAACTTTTTCGCAGGAGAAGGAAGAAGAAGTGAGTGGGATTTTAGACGCAGACCTGAAATTTCCTTTTGTTTTCTTCGAGACGCTGGTTGCGAGCTTCTTCGTAAGTGGTGGCGGCGATGGCAACCATTTTCGGTCGGAAACGGATTCGGTACAACGGCGGAAGGCGGAGGTGAGATCGATGGGAGAAGTTTGGGAACGGCGATTGAGAAAACGAGAGTTGAGTTATTGGGGCTGCGGGTAAAGAGAGTGAGGAGAGTGGAGGGAGTGGAGAGAGTGGCGCATTGAACGAGGTAAAGAAAGTGCGCCTTTTTGAATTTCAAATTTACTTGGCTTTCCAACCCAAAGTTCAATATATAAATTTTACTTGCCTAAAAGGTTAAACCCGATTGCCCCTACTGCCTGTACGACGTGATTTCGGTTCATTAAGTTTAATTGAAGACATAATCCGATACACTAAATGTCATTATATAAATAGTTGAAATATTTTTCAAACGTTCAACCATTTATATTAGAACATTTGATATACTTGAACATATTTCTAGTACATTGATCGTTTCTACGTGTACTGAAAGCTCACTAGTCACTATGAACGGATGAGGAAGGTCGGAAGAGGGTTTGAGCAGTACTAGGATTTGTGCACGCGTTCGTCTTGATTGTGGCCATGCATCAACTCACAACATGTCAAAGGTCAAGAATAGTTCATGCATGAGTGCATGCGTAGACTAATTGTGACCATCATGATCACTAATTGTGACCATCATAATTTCGACGTACAAGGGAAATAACCTCTTGCGAGCAACAGAATATCCCAAATCACATCAATAAACTGGTCTAAAGTTAAGAGTCTTGACCCTTAACCTGATATCAATTTAAAATTACGTACCCAAGAAATCAATAGCAAATTTACGGTTGAGAGAGAACAAACAATGATGCCAGCTAAACTCTAGTGCTTTTGAAACGATTGAAAACGCTTTTAATGGAAATGTTTTGAGACCAATCCAAAATTAAAATGCAAGTAATCCTAAAAAAACACTTAAAATGTTTCCTGCAAAAAGCATATAAGTGGCTCTTCTTGTAAGAGGCACTTCGTTATGTGCTTCTTATAGGAGGGGGCTTCGTTATGAGGAAGCACATCAGTGCTTTTGGAACCCAAACATAATTGCCAGAAAAGATTTCGGTCATTTTAAATGTGTTTCCAAACTAGCCCTTAGGCCCCACATGAGCCATATGAAATTTAAAAGCATTATTCTATTTGGCACCAAACCAATTTCATATCCAGCAACACCCAAAAATTGTCAATTGAACGAGTACTCGTCGAGACAAGGACTGGAATTCCCAGTAGCTAAGCTCAACATTGAAGTACAAGTTTAATCAACTTGAACAGAAGCTAATAACCGAAAATCTCAACTTATTGGCAGTAGAATCGAGAAAAGCTACAATCTTTCTGGCAAATCACCAGAAATCGTCCGAAAGCATGATCTCAGTACCTGTGCTCCATCTTCTCCTTTTCCTGGTAGGCATTAACATACCTGCATACAATTCAAGATTGAGCATACAAATGAAAAATGTTGTTGACCTATAACAATTTTACGGATTGGGCTGAGAGCAAGTCACAAAACTGAGTGCAATAGCGTTATAAGATTCATACAGCCAACTCCACTTAATGGAAAAAAAATTTGTTGTTGTTGTTGTTGTTGGGCTGACAGCAAGTGATGACGAAGTCAAAACATCGATTATGAAAAGAAAGCGGATGGCATATACGGACTTGCCCAAACTTAGCAATGTTAAAATGTACAATTGACGAACAAGATGCCTATCAAAACAAGAATCCTACATAATTTAAGCCTTATACACAACTTACCTATATATATATATATATATATATATATATATATATATATATATCATTCTATATGTTAGTTTATACGTCTGATTTCCGTCATTAAATGGCAATTAAGCCTGTATTAAAAGTCTTAGCAATACTTCATAACCGCAATTGATCACTGATGATGGTTTCAAGCTACACAACTCGCTACATTAATACCTTTGTATCGACATAAGATAAACAAATTGAGCTACTTTCGTGTATATATGTAAACAAAAACCCGAAAATTCGTATCTCAGGGTTGCCCCTCTTCACCAAGCAGGCTCAAATCCAATGACAGGAGCTAAAACAATCAACTAATCCAAAAAAAAAACCAAAAAGATCATTACTTTTAATTTTTTTTCACAAAATCCAGTAAAAACTACAGTCTGCATGCGATTATAAAATATCAAAAGATGCTACGTTTCTTCTTTTTTTTCTTCCAATTTTCATCCAACATCATCAGCTCCAATCCAAACAAATAATCAAAATATAAATAAGATTTAATTATCGTTACGAAATTGAAATCCTTGTGCCGAAAATCATAGAAAAGTATGGTGAATTGGTGATTGGTGAAGTTTTGCGAGAAAACTGCATTTAATATACCAATTTTCCAACGTATATATGTGTGTATATACAGATAAATAGATCAAAAATAATAAGAAGACGAAGATTCGGAGGAGGAGAAGGAGAAGAGAGTACGTGTAGACGCCGACGAGAGGGCCGAGGAGGAGGGTGGCGCTAATCCAGTTCTCGGAGACCTTGTGGTGGATCTTGTTGGGCAGATCTTTCCAGAGTCCCGGCATCACCTTCTGCTGGAACGGCGACAGGGCGTACACCACCGCCTTCATCTTCACCGGCAGCTTCCCCATTTTTCTCAGTCCTCTCCAGAAACTTCTCAACTTCCCTTCTTCTTCGTCCTCTCTGACGTGAAATGAAACTGCTTTGCCTTACGCAACTCTAGTTCTTATTATATAATCAAAGCCCATCGTTAGGCCCATACAACCAAGTTGGAATCGTTAGGCCCATACAACCAAGTTGGAGATTATATCATTTATTGTCAGGCCCATTAAAAACGCTGTAAAGCCCATTCACTTAAATAAGCCCATGGGCGAGGCCCGGTCTCCGGACCTCGCCTCTCATAAAACCCTTTTGGGGTGGGGAACTAGGAATTTGAGTGAAGTCTCACAATGAGTTAGACGTAAGTTAGTATTGAAGTCGCCATTTAAGGCAATGGGTCAATCGAGCCTGAGATCTCCTACTTACAAGTTGAGAAAAATATAGCTAAACTGTAGTGCTAGTGGCATTATTCGAGTTATGAATACGAAGAGAATGATATGAACTGATTGAGTTACAAGTTATTTGTACAAAGTTTGACGAATTCAGTCATTTCCAAACTCAATTTCGCAAGGGTCTCAAGTTCAATTTCCCCCTGCAAATTGGTTAAAGAGCATTCACTCATGTACATGAGATCTTGAGTTCGATTTTCCCGTCCTCTATCGTTGTATGGTCATATCACTGCAGGTTGAGATAATGTTGATCAAGGTGTATGTTCATCATCTTACTTCGCAAAAACACTAATTTAGAGAACTGAACTCACCCAAAAATGTAAAAACATATAAAACAATCGATGCATATTCCTCTTCGGAGTTTAGACAGAGTCAAGTTAATAACGGATACATGTTCAGCATAATAAAGAATAACTTATAGGACATAATTTTTCTATTTCTAAAATCACAATAGACTACAAACACGAAAGCTATAACAAAAGAATATCTCTGGTCATCCGTATATCTTAATGTCATGGAAGAAAACCCCTGCATTGATCCTCACCGAACAGGTCCACAACGCATCGTCCCTTACAGTTTGCATACAGAATTGAATTACACAGACAAGCATCCTGTGGCAAGTAAGCTCAAGAGTCGTAAGGGAGGACAAACCAATAGAAGAGGAGTTAAGTGAACCATTACAGACCAGTTTTGGCACGCTTCATCCCGCTTGAAGTGAAAGGAGAGACACTACCATATGGTTGAGGGCTCTCTTCTCGTAAATTGGATTTTAGCATAGCTAGTTCTCTCAACTGTTCCCTCTTGTAGTGATCTTGTGACTCATCCTGAAATGAAAATCAGAATCCAGTATCCATGATTTTTGTGAAGAAAAAATGTGATTAAAAACCGAGAGTTATAGCTCACAATTTGTGTGAAAAATGTGATCAAAGAACAAGCGGTCCTTTTATATGAATGAAGGGCATCTACGTATTGTATATTGAGGGAAGGAGAAATCAGTTTCATGATTCGTTGTAATATGTATTTGAGAAAGAAAAACGACACTTCATAGCGTAAAGGCAAAATAAAGTATTTGTATTGGAAAGCCAAAGGGACGAGTTAGAAACGATACCATAGGTTTGAGAAGTTCTTCTATGATTTGTTTTGCCTGTCTCAACCGCATATCAACAATATTAGCAGGCAATTCAGCCTCAATTATAATGTGCAGTGGATCATTCAGATGTTCATAGCCTGGCCTTCCCCTCAAAGATTCCTCCTTGAGAATAAGAAGGCATGAAATACAAGTCAAAATACGTCAACAAAATAGATAGCATAAAATGAAAACTCAAGAAAAAAAAGAACTTGATTTTAAATAATGAAAATTTCTTTTCGTAATAAATAACAAAACTGGGAATAATTCTACCTTGTCAATATCTCTTATTGAACATTTTCCTCTTATGTACACACGACAGCCTGTAGAAGCTTCCACCCGCTTTAGTGAATTGCCTCTAGGACCCAGAAGCCGGCCCACAAAATTGAACTACAAAATAGAAGTTTCAGTACTGCAAACAAGAGAAGGGGTGAATATCAATAAGGTCCTTATATAAGAACTTGTTTCTCAGTCAATCATAAATCATATGTGCGGCTGAGAATCCTGAGAAACATGCACTTATTTTAAGAACCTTATCGAATAATAACTCTACGCGTGCTTGCGCATGCAAACACCTCCCAATAATACGTTTTTGTTAACCATTAAACCAACAACTTTGAGTTTAAGATAGCGATGTCCCTTAACGCGCTGTCAAGTTATATGGGTGGCTTACATTTGGAAAGCTGTCTACTGGAATATCCAAGCGCAAAATCCTCTTCACAATGTAGGAACTTGGGCTTGATGGTGCAACTTGCCACTCCATATTCATCCCTTGTGGACCGCCCATTCTCTGTTACATTATGCAAGCAAATCCAGACTATTGAAACTATACCAAGATGCAAAAAAGATGAACAGAAGTAGCATGGCGGTACTGATAAAAAGATAAAACTGAGAAAAAGAAGGAAGATGGGAACCTGTAGCGCATTCCATAGAAAATAAATGTGACAAAAGCTTAATATACATACAATTAACATAGCGGGAATCCAAGCTTGTCAAGCAACATAAAATGGCATGGGAATAAATAAAATCAATTAAACTTTAACCGTATTGTAAAGCTGAAACTTCCACTATTTACCATATAATAATGGATTTATATGAAGCCAGTGCATTTACGGACACCCTGCCTTAACCACTCTTTGACTATATCCTGGATCAAAATGAATTCAGAATTGAGAAAGCCGCCTATTGCAAATAGATGAATTTGGAAAAAGTCAGTGGATAACTGACCCAGGAAGAAACAATGCCGTAGGCTGATACATAAGAGTGTTTTAGCAGTCTTCAAGTCCACAAAAAAGTAAGCAACACTGTGTTTCAACCTGTGGATAGAAGACCACCATAATTAACTTCCAAACTCCCCATACTGCATTGCACATTCTAATCCCACTTCAGGCCAGATCCAAATCTTCCAAGTGGAATACTACTGGCTATCTCTCAGGACCTGATTATGCTTTCTTCTTGCTGAATGCCACACTACTATTTACGAGTATTATAACTAGTTTTTCAGACTGACATTCTTTTCATACGAGTTACGGAGGTATGCCCAGACAAGCATAGAACTCATTTAGGGATATGCATTTTAATTAAATCAGGCAGGGGACAGCAAGAAAAATATTCAATAAACTACTGTGCTATATATAAAATAAAATGGAAATGCGGATGTGCACAGTAAGGGTGTTGCATTAGGGAGTACATAATTGCCGACACTTACATCATGAGGCCGTACGTTCCAGCCACGGAGGCCTGGCCCTCTATAATTTGGCATTATGTCTGAACCAATAGGGCTAGGGCTTCCACGCTGCAGTCTGTCAAAGTCACTAAACCCTTGGTTGGGCATCATTCCTGAGACGCGAATTATCTCTACCAATACAGAAGAGTACCAAAGTTAGCAAATTCCTTCCTCAACATATAACACAATGAAAACAAGAATATTAGCATTGAATCAGTTTCCTGACAGAGTTCAACTCGTCAACATTACAAATAGAAAACTCCTGAGTTGGAGTGATTAGTGATTCCATGAAATGAAAGAACACATAACATGAACAAACATACAAGTCAACTCCAATATTGTGGGGAAAATGAAGTTCCATTTTACCCCAAAGAATTTAATCTTCAAGCCGTTCCTAGAGGCAGAAAATTCAACATTCTAATCTCCCTATCAACAAGTTCTGATCTTTTTCCTCAAGCATTTCATAGTTCATCAATTACCCAATTCCGAAATACAGAAATGAACAGCAGGTAGATCTTTTTCTTGGCATAATCTCAATTGGGTTCACGGGAAAAAGCTGAAAGATTCCGGTTTTCGGCACAAACAACATCCAGGAAAAGCAATTGCCCAATACACACATACAGAAAGAACAAGCATACAGAGCTTTTTCATTGCACAATCTCAATTGGGTTCACAGAAAAAAGCTCAACAAACATCCTAAACAATTCCAAATCCGAATCACAACACCGAAAATAAGAACTTAATCCGATAGTAAAAATACGGTTGAAAGGGTAGAAACCTTGATTCAAGAGGCGGCCGCATATGGGGACGACCTGCGCGAAAGGCCCGAGCTTTTGGTGCTCCGCCAGCAGCTCCGTCAAGTACTGGCTCTCCACATCCGGCGGCGTTCTCAGGTGCGGCGAGAGCGCCCTCGCCGGAGAGAAATTCTGAGCGTATGAACCCGACATTGAAATCCCAATGGAGGATAAGAGCTCAGAAGGGTACAGAATTGAGTGAAACGGTGAGAGACTTGTACTGTGCTGGGTCTTCTGGGTTTGCTGGGTAGAGAAATAAAAGTAATGGTAGGCAGAGTGGTGGGGTTTTATAATTGAGAAGGTTTTAATGGCGTCTTTTGCTTACTTGCTGTAGCTAGAGAGAGAAAGAGAGAGGAGAGAGAGAGAGGCGATGCGGATTCCATATCGTTCAGATTTTCACACTATCTCTCTCCTCCCTCTCTCTCTCTCCTATCTCTCTCTAGCTCCTTCCTTCTCTGTCGTTGCTGTAAGATTTTAAGACTGACACCTCACGCAGAGACTGACAGGAGGAGTAGAGGAGCGAACCCACTCGCTCTCACAGCGCGTGAGATCGTGGATCCAATCTGGTGCTGCAGAAAGGTCACCGGATGTGGGACCAGGGGCCGCGGGGTGGACCCGGATCCCGCATGTGAGCCGTGCAAATGAAAACCACGCTCCTTTTTCAGGGTGGGGCTGGCGGCCCCCTTTCACTCCCTTGAATATTCGCATCGTTAGTCTACGAATCCACGGTCTCCATGTCTACACCTCCTGCACTATACAATTTAAAATATAAATAAATAAGAGTTGAAGATTTATTGTTCACGACTGCGTGATTAACTGTTAACTGTTGAATTAATATATGTAAGAATTGGTTATGATTATGAATTAAATTGATACTTGTAGATGCAGGTTACATATTTCTATTATATTTGTCAAAGATCAGAAGTTATGTGCAAATTCTCATTAAAAATTGAAAATTTTCGTTGAAATTGCTTGTTTGAAAATTTCCCGATAGTT